ATGTTCGAGTTCTCCCAAAGACCCTCCTTCTAGCTTGCAGGTCAATGAGATTTTGCACTATAAAGTACTGAACCTTTTGTGATTCTATAAGTGCCCTTTTGAATATATTACTAAGTTTGTTGATTTCTGGCGGTTTATGTTAGCTTGTGACAAGGAATTTTGGAGGAGGAGGTGGTTTATGTAGAAGGTTTTGTGGGTTAAAGCTATGGACGACACAGAGATTCAATATTTGGCAAATGAATAGGAAGTCTGGACCTTTGAAGGAGTTCATGACTCCAAAAAATCAAAATTTTCCCAATGGTTAGTAATAGTTCATTGTTAATAGTGATTTTTATTACTTACAAGTGTAAACGTGTGGGTTAATTTCAGAGGAGTTTGTGGTGAAAGATCGTGCTTCGAGTGTTAGTGATTCATTATAGTGATAGTCTGTGTGTAATTAATCGAAAAGAGGAAAATGGAAGTAAGTTTTTGTCGTGATGAAGATTCATTGTTACTAACATGTATTTGTGTATGGATTTTAGTTGAATTTGTAGTAAAGGTTTGTTTTTCGACTGTAGATTCCACTGAAGATTGTGTGCGTGACAGTTTGTGTATTGAGTGTTGCTTCATGGTTAATGATTTATTATATTGAAAGTTTGTGTTTTGTTGTGATGATTACTACCAAAAGGGTGCGCACCTGTTTGTGTCCATTTGAGTTGAATTTGTTGTCAAAATGTGTTTTCTGAGTGTCGATTCTGATCAAGAGACAAAAAGAACTTCGGAACCTGAAGAAAGTTCTTGCATGAGCTCCAACCTGATTCCTTCGCAAATGTAGTGCCTTTGCCAAGTCATTCCTTGAATTATCCGACTGAGGGTGGTAGAGGACCTTCTCTCTGCATTGCAGTCATTAGCAACTGGTGAGCTAGCAAAGGGGGAAATTTTTCAAGCATTATTTACTCTGTATTATAATGGATTTCTATCTGAGGTGAGGTTTACTCTGATGTCAATACTCAACGTTTCTTTGTGTACATTCCCTTTTTTTGTACATGTATCTGGTAAGCTCGGTATGTGGATATACTTCAATCATAAAGGGAAAGTGGAAATACATGAATTAGCGAAATTAGCTAGTCTCCAGTATGTTGTGTTCATATCCCTTTACACTGGTTTACTTTTGTATTTACTCTTAGTTTGAGTAGTTTTATGGATGCAGGATGCTGGTATCTTTGGTTATTCAAGAAAGAATTTGACGGCTGAAGATCTCAGATCCATAACAGCTTCAACTTTGACTTGTCGCATTGGTCACCAGTATGGTTCTCTTATCACCTTACGAGTTTTCAATCAATAATTTTATTGAATTATGTGGTAGAATGGTCAAAATGAGCAAGCATTTCTATATATGGCTGGCACAAGAAGATGCTTCCAATTAACATTGATCCACAATCATGCCAAAGAAAACTCAATCTTTCTGAACCTCCCTGTGAAATGACTAAAACAAATATAGCGGGTCGCTTATCAATAAAATCTCACAGCTTTAGTTAACAAGGGCATTGCGTACGGAGAATATCTGATATTTATTCCTGGGCCTGTCAATTGAGTTGTTAATACTACCCACAACAATGCTCATTAAAAAAATTCTGTAAAATGAAGTAAATGCTAAAAGTAAGAATATAAATTATTGAATGTATGCTAATGTCTTATGGTTATTCCTGTATCACAGGTTCTCAACTTTGCAATAATCATCAATTTTTGGAAATGTTTCAGGCAGAACTGTGGGGACAAATGGAGGCTTTCCATAGCAGAATTTACAGTCTTAAAGGACGTTATGATAACTGAGAGAGGATTTCAAAGCTAAAGGCCAGAATGGAGCAGATTGAGGTATACTTTTACTGGCACATGCTTAAATATTAAAATTGCTTTCTGACTAGGTGGGGTTTTTGTTGACTGTAAAATAGAGTAGCTGGATTAATTGATAACTGATTCTGTAATAGCACACCAATGCAGGTGGGATCTAAAGCAAACAGGAACACTACCTTTCTGTGTCACAAGAAGCACTCCGTGATGTTGCATCCTGTCTAGCTGATAATACCCTAACACTGAAGAGCTGGAATCGAATAATATTTGTGAAACCTTTTGGGTTTGATGCACTGTCTTCTCACCAATTCACAAGGTCTTCTCTCTAAGTGTGATGAGAAATAATTATACAAGTGTCAGTTGACGTTAGCTATATCTGTTCCGTGTGTGCGCAATATTTGTTCAGTAAGCACATTTTCTTTTGTAGCTATTCACTTCAGTTGATTGGAATATGACTTAAATTTTGTGCACATCAGGATAGATCATCTGTTAAGAAGGAACCTCATTGATAACCTCACAGTGGTGAGGTTCTCTAGTCTGGTCTTGGAGCCATTATGAAGCTGAACTTAATGTACACAGTATGCAGGTGAGTTTATGTATTTTATTAATCTGTGCTGCATTCTATGATGTGGCAAACCTTAAATACACCACCCGCAATATACCGCTCAGTCACTGAAACATTGCATGATATTTCAGATCATTTTATCAGAAGACTTCGTCTTGCACATGTTCTGTGGAACTTCTATGATAATTTATGTAGAAGATCAAAATTTGGCACTAAAACAACCCAAGATGCTTCGATTATGAGATTGCCTGATTTCTCCATGGCTCATCATTGTTTTCAAATTTGAATATGAAGATTCAAGAATCCAAACTCAGCTCTTGAATTCTGTGCTGAATGAAACTAGAGAACAAGGGAATTGTGCGGGGTATTTATATGCACATAGACACATGCATTGTGTTAGTTCTTCTATCCATGTGATAGTTACTAGGGGGAGGAAATGGTGTACCATTTGCTTACACTATATTGAATTTTCTGACCATGATGAACTACATGAGGCAGAGTGGAGATACGTGTACATTTCCATTATGTCCCCGAGAACCTTTATTGTAAACATGTCAAAGTACATATTGATCTGGCTACTAATGAGATGATCCTGAGTGATGCACCTAATGAAGCTATTCTGGTAAAGATTAATAATAAGATTCCAGGACTTGGCTTGCAGTTGGATGCTTCTGAACTCAATTTGCTGTACAAGGACAAGCAAGCACTTTCACGTTACAAGACATGTTCTGTCTAAATTCACATTTCCAAGTGAAGCCAATTCAGCACCCACCTTGTTCTATAATTTGACGTCTGGCTTTTTCTTTATTTTAATTCCTTAGGTATAATGCGGAGGTTCCTGAGTCATATGAGCATCTTCTTGATTTCATTGATGGGAGCGTTGAGCTTGCTGCTGCATGGAATATTCTAACTCCAACTCCACAGGAGATAGACAAGAAACGTACGACGCCAGAACTCTATGAACTGGGAGGTAGAGGTCCAATTGTACCATATTATCTTTATGAAAAATATCAGGTTCGGTGGGTTGGTGGACAACTGAAGCTTGTTGAAGGCTTCGAATCTGATGTTTGAGAACAACCACATGCATGATAGGCATTATGAAATAGTCATTCCGTCTCCAGGACCACAAGAAATAAATAACTGTATATATGTTTAGCGTGTAAAATTATTCTGATTTACTGAAATGTTCAGCTAACATGTTCCCTGTTTGATTCTGTTACCAGAGTCCAGCTGCCTTAACTAGCAAAATAATGGCCTGCTGAGGGTGATTGAAGCTTCTTATGGGAGCTTCAAATCACCATACAATCACGGAGAAAAGCTTTGGAGATCCCCATCAATTTCTTTTTCCTTACAATTTCCAAAGTAAGATTCAGTTCTATGTTGTTGACAAACAATGAACTTCAATCACACGCTTCTGTATCATACAATATCATGACATGCTCAACTGTCAGAACTTGAGTTGTGTTTTACACATTAACCCTGGATACCATGCTGTTGTGCATCAGTAGCAGAATCTACTTTCCTGTCAATAAAGTTGAATGCCAGTGATCATGGGGCTCTGGATTTGCCAGCTTGTGGCCCTTAATAAAGATATTTCTGTGAACACAGCTTATCTATTGATGGAACTTGATGTTTAAAATTTCAGCAAGAATAATGTGAATTGTGGTCCCACCTGATATCGAAAGTATCTTATTTGTGCATTAAGTTTGGTTGACTCCTCTGAAGACCTAGTTCACTTACTCTAGTTTAAACTTGGCTAAATATTTATTACAGCTCTGGCTAGTTAGGTAGGTAATTACTACTTAAATCCAAAGTTCACCATCCATTGCCCATGTGAATAAAAAGCTCAGTCATAGTGGTCCAACTGCCATATTTTGAATCTATTCATGTCAGACAATCTCCATCCAGTATAATGTCTTCATCTTACAAAAGCAGGTGGAAGCTGCTTACAAGGGAAGTTGTTGCTTTTACCCCCCAACTCTGTGGTTGTTAAGCAGCTTGTACAGCAGGCCGAACAGACTTTCAGCTTTGCTTCGTTGAAATATGAAAGAACCTCGAGCCCAACTTTTCAATTTGCTACAAATTACATGTCATTGTGAAGCTCCACTTGGAGGATGACAACCATAAATTGTACCTTAAACTAGTATGAGATCATCAATATGACATCACGATGACAAAATACAATTGATTAATTGCTAGAGTGATAGAGTCTGCTATGAACATAGAACAAGTAATGAAGGAAACCAGACGGCAGAGAAATTAGTTTTGTAAGGTGTCAATTAAATACAGGCCATAAAAGTATACCAAAAGGAACCACCAATGCATATATTCTCACAAAAATGTCAGGCTGGCCCTCTAGGAAGACTCCAAAATGACAATATGTCATGGTGCTTGCATCACCTTTATTCGGTATGCTACACAGCATCACGGGCAGCAGCCAGTGACCTTATTAGCCATTATTCTTTTCCATCCATAGTATCCACTCCATCTACAGCCAATCATTCCTGAAGAGAATCGAGGACTCACTACGGTTTTTATCTGTTTTTGCAAGAAATCAAATCAAAATTTTATTACGCTTATTGGTGGGCTAATTTTTAAATCAGCTTTTGTACATTGAAACTAAAGTCTGCACCAATCAAGTCTTAAACAATTATTTATATATGGAGGGATGCTTTCACAATATTCAAATCAAAAATGAAAAGCCAAGCCCGTTTCTGTAAAAGAATTCTTGTGATACCTGCACTACATTATGGTGACTCTGTACAAAGAGTCAACTAACACGGTTTCTAGAGTGGTCATAGTGCGAGTCTAGTATGTGGTTTGGTTTAACCCATCAAACTACAATAACCCATACTACAATAAGAGATACTCTATGGTCTACTGCTTATGCTTCTCTCTTTGATATTTTTTTATTTGTAGGAGGAAATAGCTTGCTAGCTTGGCATGGAGAGGGAAGCAAAGAAGAGGAAGACGGAGTATGTTGAAGAAGAAGAAAAGGGAAAGGAAGATGATGATGATGAAGAAGAAGAAGAAGAAGAAGAGAAGATGGAGAAGTTCTTTGCTTTGCTGAGAAGTACAAAACAAATGCATGATCAGATAAGAAGAAACTCAAATAGAATATTTAAAGAGAAAGAGGAGATCAGGAAAGTTGGAGAAGAGAAGGTTAGTGTGGCTTGGAATCCATCATTTCTGCCAGAAGACTTCTTGGAGGATGGCAAGGATGGTCAGGCAGCAGCCGGTCCTTCCAAGAGAAAGGAAGAAGAGAAAAAGGACGAGGGAGAAGAAGGCACTGGCTTGGACCTAAAGCTTTCTTTGTAGAGGGTAGCTGGCCTCCTCCCCCAACTCCCTTTTCTCTTCTTGCATGTTGAGAAGCTTTCACAATGAAAGGTCGAGCGCTACAATAAGTAACAGCAATACTGGGCAGCATTTCCATGATGTGCTGAGTTTATCGAAAACATATTATGTATGCTGACGTCTCTCTGGCTTGTTTGGGTCTCTATATATGAGGTAATTGAGATTTTTTTTTTAAGTTTATGTTCTTACACAAGTGATGGGATAACCTCACTCTTTGAAGCGGACACAAGAAGTCATGTAAACACTTGTTCGACGAGAACTCACGCTGTATTTTTTAAATAGTTTTGAGACAGTTTAGGAGCATATACCTTCTTTCTCCAACAAGAACAAGAACAAGAACAAGAAAGCCTCGTTTCCAGAACACGGTCAACTTTTAATCGAACTAGGTAATTTTACAAGAACAGCAAAGCCTAGTTTCAGACACAGTTGAGTTTTAGATTCTTTTGACTAGGTAATCGAACTTTATTCTCTATGAATTTGGTCCTAAAAAAATATGTTGTCGTTATCCTATCTTTTCCTTTTGTTTTTGGATTGCATGCTATAACGGGTCCGAAGTGTCGGACATTGTTTTGGAGTTAAAATGACATGGTAATTTTACAAAAAGTTTTTTGTAGTTATGCTGAAAAAATTAAAACAACAACGCCCTAAAATTAACTTTGGCAATAAGTAACATAACAACCTTCTTTCCATGTTCATTGTGAGCGTAAAACTCCACTTTCATCTCTAAATTTTTAATTTATTTATATTTAATCCTTTTTTGTTAAGGATTTTTTTTTATTTTGGTCACACACTTTATTTTTTTAATATTTTAGTCCCTCAATCTTGAGAAATGAGAGATAAAATCATACAAAAAATTTAAGAAGAGAGAAAGCTCTTGGTTGACTGCATTCTGACCATCAATATCTTCAATTTTGATGTCTATATATTATGTTTTTTTAAAAATAATCTATTTTATTAAATTCACGCACACCATTACTAAGTGACCATGAATAAACTTGTGATATAATATAAAAATTATACAACAATTTTTTTCAAATATTGAAAGAAAATAAAAAAATTATATTAGTGAGAAGAATATACCAGAATGTCTAGGAGACTACTGAAGACTGGTTGAAAAAGATCAAAATATACAAGATTTAAAAATTTAACAGTGTATTTTTGATTGATGAAAGCTTTATTGGCAAAGAAAAATTCAAGTTAAGAAGAAAAAAAATTAAAATTAGATGTTTAAGGACTTAATTGAATTTATTAAGAGCTTAATTGTAAGAAAACTAATTTTTAAAGTCAATTTAGGCTTTAATTAATAGAAATTAAATTTTAGGGGTTAGATTGCAATTTTTAAGAGTTAATTTGGTCAAATTAGAGCCTTAATTGTATAAATATTGAAGTTTAATAGACAATTAGAAACTTCATTGAAGAAATTCAAAATGAAGGACCAAACTAAAAAATATACATAATGCAGGGACTGAAATGGACTAAATCAAGGGTCAAATCGAAAAAATTGAAAGTTTGATGGTTAGTTGAAGGTCAAAATACATAAATTTAGAAGATGGTTGGAATGCCCAAATTCAAAACTAAGGACTTAAATGAAAATAACAGTCAACTTTGAGGCTGCTAATTGAGTTTAAAAAGGGTGAAATTACATGAAATTAAAAGTCTTGAGACAATTATAGCTAAAAGCAATTGGAAGAATAAAGACTTGATTAAATTTTGCCAAATCTCAAATTAATAATCCTAAATAACATGTCATTCAAACTTAACAAAGTAAGGTGAATGACACATCATTCGTCAATTTGCACCGCTATTTTGATAGTTTTGACTAATTGAGTTAACAACTTCAAACGTATGAATATGAAATTACAGATCTTTAAATTGAGTAAGGTTGGATCCAAATGAATGATATTCTCCTTTTCTACCAGGTTTAGGTGATTTCAAGTGATGATGAAGTCAGAATTGCTCTAACGAGACCTTGAAAGTAGGCAATTCAATCAACCCCAACAATGCAACTATCATTCAAAAAAACAATTTGATTTTTATGTATTTACATACAAAAGCTTTTCAATGGGTTCTTATCAAGGATTTACAACATTTATCTCAAGATTAAAAGGTCAGAAATAAAATCAAGACTTCTCAAAACCCAAATAAAACCTTATAAATACCACTCCAAGATCAAGAAAAGATGTTAAATAAAAGGGAAATAAAAAAGAAAAAGATAAGAAAAGATAAGAAAAAAAATATCAATAAGAAACATAAGGGTAAAAGTCCAAAAGTTTAAATAAAATTTTTGACTAGTTGTAAGAGACAACAATTTTCTTAAGTTATGTAAATTTGTAAGAGGCAAAAGTTTCTAAAGAAAAGCTAAGAGAGCATAGTTATTCTAAGTATATATTCCACACCTGGAAACGGGTCCTTTATGGCCTGTTTTTTTTCTTTAGCTTACATTTATAGTTACAATCATAGAAAAAAGATTTGAAATGTTTACAAAATAATGTTGCTTCACTTCTCTATTGTTGTTATTTTATATTTTTGATATATTAAATTTGATTTTTATGTTCTCTTTTCGATATATAATTTTTTTTTTGGTCTAGCCTAAGCTATATGTGTTAAAGTAAGAGTGTTTATTCTTAGTTTATTAAACTTGTTCATGCATAAAATATGTTCAAAAAACCAATTTTAAATCCATGTTGCATGAACGCCATATAATCAAATAAAAAAAATTCAAAAAGCACCTTGCAATACAAGATCATATATATATATTTCACCTTCCTGCTTTAGTTTGTCTTAGTAACTCTTTTTAAAATTTATTAATTCATATAATTTTCAATCTATTTTATTAAATTCACGCACACCATTACTAAGTGACCATGAATAAACTTGTGATATAATATAAAAATTATACAACAATTTTTTTCAAATATTGGAAGAAAATAAAAAATTATATTAGTGAGAAGAATATACCAGAACGTCTAGGAGACTACTGAAGACTGGTTGAAAAAGATCAAAATATACAAGATTTAAAAATTTAACAGTGTATTTTTGATTGATGAAAGCTTTATTGGCAAAGAAAAATTCAAGTTAAGAAGAAAAAAAATTAAAATTAGATGTTTAAGGACTTAATTGAATTTATTAAGAGCTTAATTGTAAGAAAACTAATTTTTAAAGTCAATTTAGGCTTTAATTAATAGAAATTAAATTTTAGGGGTTAGATTGCAATTTTTAAGAGTTAATTTGGTCAAATTAGAGCCTTAATTGTATAAATATTGAAGTTTAATAGACAATTAGAAACTTCATTGAAGAAATTCAAAATGAAGGACCAAACTAAAAAATATACATAATGCAGGGACTGAAATGGACTAAATCAAGGGTCAAATCGAAAAAATTGAAAGTTTGATGGTTAGTTGAAGGTCAAAATACATAAATTTAGAAGATGGTTGGAATGCCCAAATTCAAAACTAAGGACTTAAATGAAAATAACAGTCAACTTTGAGGTTGATAATTGAGTTTAAAAAGGGTGAAATTACATGAAATTAAAAGTCTTGAGACAATTATAGCTAAAAGCAATTGGAAGAATAAAGACTTGATTAAATTTTGCCAAATCTCAAATTAATAATCCTAAATAACATGTCATTCAAACTTAACAAAGTAAGGTGAATGACACATCATTCGTCAATTTGCACCGCTATTTTGATAGTTTTGACTAATTGAGTTAACAACTTCAAACGTATGAATATGAAATTACAGATCTTTAAATTGAGTAAGGTTGGATCCAAATGAATGATATTCTCCTTTTCTACCAGGTTTAGGTGATTTCAAGTGATGATGAAGTCAGAATTGCTCTAACGAGACCTTGAAAGTAGGCAATTCAATCAACCCCAACAATGCAACTATCATTCAAAAAAACAATTTGATTTTTATGTATTTACATACAAAAGCTTTTCAATGGGTTCTTATCAAGGATTTACAACATTTATCTCAAGATTAAAAGGTCAGAAATAAAATCAAGACTTCTCAAAACCCAAATAAAACCTTATAAATACCACTCCAAGATCAAGAAAAGATGTTAAATAAAAGGGAAATAAAAAAGAAAAAGATAAGAAAAGATAAGAAAAAAAATATCAATAAGAAACATAAGGGTAAAAGTCCAAAAGTTTAAATAAAATTTTTGACTAGTTGTAAGAGACAACAATTTTCTTAAGTTATGTAAATTTGTAAGAGGCAAAAGTTTCTAAAGAAAAGCTAAGAGAGCATAGTTATTCTAAGTATATATTCCACACCTGGAAACGGGTCCTTTATGGCCTGTTTTTTTTCTTTAGCTTACATTTATAGTTACAATCATAGAAAAAAGATTTGAAATGTTTACAAAATAATGTTGCTTCACTTCTCTATTGTTGTTATTTTATATTTTTGATGTATTAAATTTGATTTTTATGTTCTCCTTTTGATATATAAATTTTGTTTTTTTTTTGGTCTAGCCTAAGCTATACGTGTTAAAGTAAGAGTGTTTATCCTTAGTTTATTAAACTTGTTCATGCATAAAATATGTTCAAAAAACCAATTTTAAATCCATGTTGCATGAACATGTAAGTTGTTTGAGGTTATTAGTTTTTGGATTTGGGATTTCATTCTTCATCTTGATATTGCAATGTTTTTTTTTGGCTAGTTTTAAATTCAAACATATTTATGTATAATATTATGACTTGTTGGGATAAAGAAAGCATGTTGTAAAGGTTAAAAATACCCATTTCTAGGCTTGATAATGGCTACCTCATGGTTGGGTTCTTCGTTGAGTTCTGTTTTTCATATTATTAAGAAGAATATTATTGTTTGGATCAATTTTGATCCATTCGTTTGCAAAGAATCCCTTTTTATGCATGATTAACTAATATTCTAGTGGTTATTTGTATCAACAACACATTTATAATGATTTTTAATCCTAAGATTTTAATTTTAAACTAAAATCTATTTCAATCAAATCGTGATGATTTAATGATAATTGAAGTAAATGAACCTTTAATTCTTAATTCTTAAATGATTTACAACTTTATATGCTTTTGATTTTATGAAATCTGTTCTAGATTTTGAGTTAACGGTGTTGGGTTTATCTTGAGTGTTTTTTATATTTTTTATTTGATCTATTTTGTTCTAAAAAATTAGAAACTTCATTGAAGAAATTCAAAATTAAGGACCAGACTAAAAAATATACATAATGCAGGGACTGGAATGGACTAAATCAAGGGCCAAATTGAAAAAATTAAAAGTTTGATGGTTAGTTGAAGGTCAAAATACATAAATTTAGAAGATGGTTGGAATGCCCAAATTCA